GCATTACAAGGAAGCTGAGACACAGGATGGTTAAGTAAGTTTCTCAAGGTTTCAAGGTTAGAAGTGGTGAAGCCGAGATTCTTATCCATTATGAGTTTCTGTAAAGAAGTCTCCAATGATCCAAGTGTGTCCAGGATAGAAGGTGTGTTTGAATTTTTTCTGTCTATTTTTAATCATCCATCTAACCCACACACACCACCTTAGGTCACAGATGCTCTGATGTGACCCAGTAAAAGAGTCGATAAAGAGTGCCATAGAGAAGAGAGATCGGGTTTTTACAATATCCTAAGCCAAATTTCTTTAAGTTCCTTCTACACAAGGATGTAGGAGGCAATCATCTACCTATGCGAGATCTTTTGTCCCTCCCAAAAATATTCAAAAGGGTTTTCATTTGTTGTTTTTGCACGATTATGCTTTGGAGTCCTGTTTAGAAAGTTCTTGAATGTAAACAAGAAAAAGGTTTGTTGGTGTTTATATCATTTACAGTTCAGTCAACAAAATAGTTATATACCTAGATCACTATTTTCTTTTTCTTTTCTTTTTTAATTGATTTCAGAGAGGATGGGAGAGGGTGAGAGAGATAGAAACACCAATGATGAGAGGGAATCATTGCTCAGCTGCCTCCTGTATACCCCACACTGGGGATCGAGCCTGCAACCTGGGTATATGCCCTGACCGGGAATCAAACCATGACCTCCTGGTTCACAGGTCAAAACTCAACCACTGAGCCACGCCGGCTGGGCAGTCACAATTTTCTTAGACAGGAATTTGACTGAACCCAATCATGGGAACAGGTTGAGCAGTCTCGGTGAACTGTTGCCCTCCTGTCTGAGGCTAGGACCTAAAGGCAGCAGGCAGTCAATCAGGATGGTAAGATGGATGTTAGGTTAGGGAGAAAGCAAGAAAACACTGGAGCCCACAAACACAAGCTAGAGCTCACGGTGACAAATGGATAGCCATGACTTGCTGCCCTGGAACCTGGCTGACCTGTGTGCTGCGTTGTGTGTCACCTGTAAGGCCTGCCAAAGGCTCCAGCCTCCCTATCTGTCACTGACACTTCAAGCACCATTGGATTTGCTGTATCACGTGATCCAAATGGCAGCGCGGTTGGCACAGCAGCCAAACCTGCTGCAAGGCTCTGTCTAGTTCCGGGCCCCTCTCAAGGCTGCAATGTAGTGAGTTGCTCGATAACCGAGTCAGACACACACATACGAATGAGTTGCAAATTGTTTTCAAAATCCAAAAATGCCTACTTGAGTGTTGTGCCTTTTTCTTAGTGGATGGGTTATGTACAGTCACTTGCCGTTCACCTGATCTCTCAGCGTACCCCCAACTGGATACCTAGAAATTTCACCAAGTGAGCAGACCATTTAGTTTTTGTGGGATTTACTTCTCATTGGCTGGCATTCAAGTACACCAGGCCCAAGCAGAAGTGTATCATCAATGAAATGGATGAACGTGCTGTCCTGTGGAAGGAAACTGTGATCAAGAGCCCTGTGGCACAGACGATCACACAGGGTGAGGAGTGCATGTAACCCGGAAGTAGAAAAGTGTTTTGCTGGCATTGCCAGCTGAACACTGGTTTCTTCTTGTGGTCTTTGTGCAGGTCAGTAGCCACGTGCCAGGGTGCAGATAAATTATAACCATTTGGTTAGATACCTAGATATGGATATAGAAAAATATCCAACTCTTCGTGATGGGGAACTCTTTATTATGGCCCTTGGGGAACTGATTAAGCAGTTGTCTTTGCATTTGCTTCTGGAGCTTGAAGCCCACAAAGAAAGCAGTTGGGAAGGAAAGACATTGATGCGGCGGAGAGAAAAAGCAAGCTGGACTTCACAAGCCATGGGCTGGAGCCCAGGAGGACAGTTCTTTATGCCAGTCTGACCCTGGCGAGATGGGTGTGCTACAAAGGCGAGGGCCCTTCATCACGAAGCTGAGAACACACACGTGGCCTGGCAGTCAGGGACATAGAAACGGGGGGAGTGTGCAGCCCCACCACAGCCTCACACCAGTGAGACCAGACATCAGGCCGTGACATGTGTGAGACACAAAACGGCGGCTGCTGCGCTTCCCACTTCCAAATCGCCCACAAGAATCTCTCCTGTTCTCACCCTAACCAGAACAAACAGGAAAGAAAACTTGAGGAAATTAATTCACTCTTGCCAAGGTGACACACCACAAAGCCAGCACGGTATCATTAAAACTCTACTCTGAAGAAAGTGTCAGCGCAATTACAATAAGGTTTCTGATGCTGATTCTAGGGGAGAGGACAGAAATGAGGCGAGCTAATTCCATGACAAAGGGAGTGGGGGAAGGATGAAACCGGCAGGTCGGGAAGAGAGACAAAAAGGGAACAAGGATTCAAAAGATGGTGTAACACCAGTTCAAAGTAATTTCTACTACACCGACTACATGTGGCCTGAGAGAAAGAGTAAGGAATGTTTGCTCTCCAGACTCTCAAATATACAGGGTGTCCCCCCAAAAATGTATACACCCTGTAACCGCTGATAGCTCAACTTTTAAAATGAAATGTATTTTAATAAACACTGCCTTTATAATTATTCAAAGTGTGCATATACATTTTTGGGGACACCCTATATTTCTGATCCACCTGAGAAAGACAGCGTTCTCACAGGTGATGCGCTAACTCTATGCACCTTTGCCCACTGTCGTAGGTTTTAATAGCAAATTTATAATTAGGGCACACAATGTTCTTCTCAGATAAAGTTCGCTGCAAGCGTGCCTCAGAGGATTTTCTTCAGCCAGAGCACTAGCTTGGTGCAAACCCTTCTGTACTAAACAGACGATTTCATACCTACACCAGTAATCCCGCTAAAATGAGGATCCACGAGATAGTAGGAAACCCGGCTAAAGCAATTGGTCCACAGGCTCACTAGCTCTAGGCTAAAACTGCCCTGATTACTGTAGGACTTGCAACACAAAGAGAACTGCCAGCAGGTGAGGAGGTGTGGAGTTCCCAAAATAGCATTTCTGAGCACAGTGCTTTGACCCATTTTTAATATCTCCTTACCAACTTGGAAGAGACAGCCTGTGTGATCAGTATGGAAGGGGAAGACATGAAGGAGCAAATTTTATTATCTACAAAGTCACAGAAGCAAAACCAATTTAGGCATGCTACTTAGAAAATACAAAGTGCAGGGTCTAAAAGTTTTTCAGCCGAAATCCGGTTCAAAGACTAGAAATACTGACATTCTCAAGGAGAAATAAAACAACTAATGAGAAAATATACATTTTGGCAGGTCATTTCAATTAACCCTAAAATCTGACAATGGAAATGACATTTTTCACTCATGATTCCTCATGCCTTAGATGTAGAAGGAACAGTGACAATTTGGTGGGCTACCTTTAAGGCCATAAGGAGTGAGTTATGGATCTCAGAGCCTTTCATTCTGAGCTTAACATGCAGATAAAACAGGTACTACCAAACTTATAGCCAATCATTCCAGCTGTTTAACCTCATCACCTTTGTCAATGGTTAGCCAATGGACATTATCCTCAAAGTGATTTGCAAAGCAAAGGCACTACTTTGGGGGGTTGGGTCAGTCTTCTTCTTCAAACTCATCAAACTGATTTAAAAGACAGTTTCAAGTCCAACTTGTCCTTCCCTGTCATCATACTGGAGCACCTTGCTCAGCAAACAGCACTGGTAAAAGAGCATTTAACAATCTGCTTCACATACACCTCTTCTCCAGCCAAACTGCACCCATAAAGTTAAAACAGAACCTCTTTGGAGTCTCAACAAACACAAACTGAATATTTTATGATTTGTGCAGTAGTTACAGTGTGTTGCCTTTTCTTAATTAGCATATATATGGAAGCCTTTCTTTCGTGGCATGTTGTAATTGTTGCAGTAATTCAATAAAAGTATCCTAAACATTTACATTGCGGAGCATTTTTATGATTTACACCAACAGAACAGCATACATGGTGGGGTACATCTGCTTTCAAAGTCATCGCTTTATTTCTCATTCCCATATCCCTTTTAAGAATGACAGATACTGTCATTTGGGGGCCTGTCTTTATTCCTTATTCTTTCTGCCTATGAATTTCAATCTTATGCACACTCTTCCCTATGATGATCCATTCAATTCATTCAATGGGAGCATTATTTTTTTCCCTGAAGTCTCTCACAACAGAGTAAAGAATTCTTCTCTTAATCTACTCCATTGGATTTCTGTTATTAAAAAAAATAAATAAACATGTTCCTCTGTTTGGTCACTAACTACTCACAGTCTTTTCAAAATGAGTCATGAACAGTTAAAAGCACAAGTTTTCCACCGAGAAGCTAAGTAAATGTTGAAAGGGAAGTCACTATAATTTCTTTTTTTCTTTTTTCTTTTTTTTAATATTTTATTGATTTTTCACAGAGAGGAAGGGACAGGGATAGAGAGTTAGAAACATCGATGAGAGAGAAACATCAACCAGCTGCCTCCTGCACACTCCCTACTAGGGATGTGCCCGCAACCAAGGTACATGCCCTTGACCAGAATCGAACCTGGGACCTTTCAGTCCGCAGGCCGACGCTCCATCCACTGAGCCAAACTGGTTAGGGCCATAATTTCTTATACTGTGTTATCCTCCTGAACCATTTCCAACCTCCAGTCAATGGAATAGGGGTCGGTTGAACAAAATGATCATGTAAAACATCTCACTGGGCCCGGCCCTCAGGCTCTTCCCCTTTGTGTTATTACACCCAGTTGTGACATGACAGCGTCAGAGCAGTCTGCTTTACCTCAAAACTCAAGGCTCCAAGATGTCTTCACTTGGAATAGCTGTTATATGCACGTGTTTGCCTGGGCTTTTAATCTGCCCTTATTTCTACTCTTTCGCCTTTAAAAGAAGCAACTAGCAACTTACAGAAATTTTAAAAAGATCTTTTAGAGCTTAAAGCATCAAAATTATGAACTTCGAATAAGAGGTGTGGGAGAGACATTCTACTAAATCTTAAGATGCAGTCTGATGATCAGCAAACATACCTGAAGTCGAAGACGGTGGAAGATGGCGGTTGGTCTGGCCTGGGCCACTGGTTGACTGCAAGTGGAGTGAGAGGCGCTGGTGAGTACAGCTTCCCTGGCACCCACAGTTACTGTTTTCCAATCGATTCTGAGGGAATCTTGCAGAGACAGCTACAAGAGAAAAGACTAGTATTATTTTAGTATCAAGGTATTATAAAAATTGAATTAAGACCTGAATTAAGGGGGCTGGGATAGGGACATCCTTCCCCCAGCTAGAAATTTCAGAAAGAAAAAATGATGGGGAGCACGTGGGGAACGGGAGAGGGACAGCGGAGCTGGAACCGAACAGCAGCAATGTGGTTCAGATCAGCATGACTGTCAGAGAACCTGGGCAGTCGACAAGAACACCAGGGATCAGAGGTGGAAGTGCAAACATCGTTTCCAGAAAGGTCATTTTAAAGGCTGCAAAAGAGAGTGAGATATCAGGTGAAATAACAACAATCACCATCATAATAACTGCTGACACTGGACACTGCTTCAAATGTGTCAAGAACAAAGACTTACTTATACAGCTTATCTCTAATATGCAAGCCGTTCCGATGAGATGGAGACAATTATTATTCTCTTTTTAAGATGAGAAACTTGAGTGTCTTGAGTTATTTGCCTATGGTTTCCACAGCAAAAAATGAAAAAAAAAAAAGTGGTGTGGTGAGCTTTGAAATGGGGTATTCTAGATGCAGCCTGTGCCCTCAAACACTGCAGAGTCCCTGGCAGGTACGAGGGGAGGCCAGAATTTCTATTTCCAGGACCCCCACCATAAGTGTGCAAACACTGTTTTTGATATAATTTCTACTGTTTCTTAGATAGACCTCCTTGACTGCATTTACCTAGTCCAGTGGTTCTCAACCTTCCTAATGCCGCGACCCTTTCATACAGTTCCTCATGTTGTGGTGACCCCCAATTTCATTGTTACAAATTGAACATAATTAAAGCATAGTGATTAATCACAAAAACAATATGTAATTATATATGTGTTTTCCGATGGTCTTAGGCGACCCCTGTGAAAGGGTCGTTCGACCCCCATAGGGGTCGCAACCCACAGGTTGAGAACCACTGACCTAGTCAGCTATGAGAAAACCTGCTACTCTCTTTCTCAGCTCCCCAGGGAGCTAGTACGTTGGAGAGAAAGCATGGAACAGAAGATACAACTTAATCATGGTGGTCAACAATTCTACTGGCTATTCTTTCATCATTCATTCACTTACTCATTTATTCAATTTACCCTGTTCGTACCCTGGATGGTATAATCCACAAGCACTTTCAGGCCCAAATGCCCAACTCCTTCTCATCAGCTCACAATAGTATAAACTTTCACTCCCCAGCCCCTAACTCAGGAAGGCCAAAAGAAGCTGAGTCCAGAATTCCTCCGCTGCTCCAATATTGCTATATCTTCAGGAGTTCTTTGTGTTCATAGTGAAAATATTTCGGTACAAAAACAAGAGGCACTGTTCTTTTGGAACTGTTATTATTAAGTATTTAAGAAAAAAATTTTATAACATTGTTGGAGTACCAAGTTGCTTCACATAAACATAATACCTATACTCAAAAACATTTGAATTTTTTCAGCGTCTATTGCAAATGAAGTTCAATCAAATAAGTATTAATGCATAAAGGGGGAAAAAGCACAATTCTCGAAGTGAACTGACAATTCTGCAAATGTTACATGCCATTCAGACCTGGTTTTATATAAAACACATTCACAAAGAGTTAAAAACTCCTTCCGTGAAGAGTATACATATTCCCACATGGCTCCACCTCCTAACATGGACTGGTCAGTGACCTAAGTGAATCCAGTTATAAGGATGTGAAATTTTTATTGCTGCTGTACCAGCAGGTGACTTGGTTGATCTGACATGGAAATAAATCTGCAGTCTACCTCCTCATGTTCTTCACACCACCTAATTGTGAAGATGCAGAGTAAATGAAAGGTGTCTCAAATCTGCATGGGTAGTCCTGAACACCTACTTCCTGACTGATTCCACCAATTACGCCCTGGGCTCCTGGATGGATTGTTAAAATGTACTGGAGTCTTGAATCCATCGAAGTGTTTTGAATTCAGGCAGGAGAGGCCTGCTGCAAGTGTTCCATGCTTTCTCCCCAACGTGCTAGCTCCCTGGGGAGCTGAGACACGTAGCTGCTCCACATCTCAGAAAGAGAGTAGCAGGTGCCAGACTTGAAATTGCTGCTGGGATTACAACGAATTCCCAAACCACGGCACAGCAGAAACAAACAGCTAGTCTCGGCCTCGTATACTAAGATGGCAAAATGAGATTGAAGAGATCGAAACATTTACACTGCAGCATCCTTTGCAGCAACTGTTGGGTAATGTTGATGAGACATGACATTAAAGGGATTTAGCGATAATAGTGACTGCGGAGAAAGGTAAAGACATGTGAGGAGGACAAAGAAAATGAGATGGCTGATAATTTTGGAAAGTTTTGTAAACAGATTGAACTAGAAAGTCATTCTTTATTACGGACTGCCATATGGTTTCGTTATTTCTGCACTGTTTGTGTTCAAAATAGGCTGTAATGTGCACAGAGGCAGCTACTCCAACTATGTTTTGTTCATCTCTGCATACCACTAGGATCTCAATGCTGCATTTGACACATACTGAAACTGGTAACAATGTAAGTCATCATCTTGAACCTAGCTAGGCTAGAATTTAAGTAATAGGCCAAATCCAAAAGTGGCCAGGTGGCTATTTTAAAAATTACAAACTTATATTTCTGACATTATAAAGGGACTAATCAGTCATGGGATAGTATTATGGATGAGCCCTTGAAAGGGATTTTCCATCCTCTGCCCTTCAAGAAAGCATTCAGCAGTACTTAAGCATTCAGTACCATCCCAAGCAGATGAGAATCTATTCTTTGCCTACAGAACTCTAGGGAAGTATAAGGCACAGCCTTCCTCAGTAAATCATGCCCTTAATAATATTACCCTATATTAAACTTGTATGAATGAATTTATTGACTAATTGACAATATGTCAATGGGAGAATTTAATCTTAAATGTATTCAAAACGCAGCAGACTTTGAAGATACTATCAAAAGCTAGACGTCTTCTGGGTATGTTAAAAATTCAGTCAAAACTTTAAAAAGTTAATAGAAAAAATCCAAGGCTCCCTCGATGGATTATTTGAGGGTTGCTATTACAACGCTTGAAAATCAGAAATAGTGCGGAAAAATTAAACTCTGGTTAAGGCCCATTAATTATAATGCAATGCCTCAGCCAAACAACAGCTTGGCCTTAAATCAATACTCAATTAAATACTTCCTGCAGTTCTGTCCATTAATTGCTCTGCAGCTCAGAAAATAACATTCTAACTGCTGGCAGAAAGGTAATCAACATTGGGGTATGAAACTTAACGTTGGGCTCCTTTGTGATTATCTTCCTTCAAGGAGAACAATTAACTTCTTCAGTGACTTACACTCCATTCCTTTCAAATCCACTCAAAACTATTGAACATTGAAGACAATAACAAGCAATTGGTATTTTTTTATTGTGAAATATTTAATTTGTCTTGAAGCACAAGCACCACACTATAGCATTTCCTTCTTCATAATGAAAAGTATCACCATTTTTATGCTAGATCTCAGTTGTAGACATACGAACTGGGAACTCTGGCTGCCTATACACTATTGGATGGAAAATATTTAAGGGGCAACATCTTCTAGCTGCTGCTGGCAAAGGAACATTTAAGGTCGAAATAGGAAATGCTATCTTGCCCTGCAATGAGGAATCACCTTTCAGTTCAGCTCTTAAGTACAAAGAAACTCAGCCTGGCAGAGGAGATTTACAATGAGCTTCCCACAGATGCATCACCCAGAATGCTGATTGTGTAACAGGACAAATACAAAAGCAGAGAAGGAGAGGTGGGATTTAGGCTGTTGGCTTCAGAAAGAGCTGCAGAACCCAGGCCCTTGGAGAAATGCCCACCAGGACTAAAGGATAAAGGCAAGAGAACAAAATTGAGGGAAACAACACAAATATAAGCACCATGCAGGCAGGAATACCAAAGGTTGGCAGGTGTGATGACTACGAATTTATCAAGTAAGGTTTTGAAATGAATAGCTCAGCCGTACACAGCCTGTGGGGAGCTATGGCAGGAGGGACATGAGCCGGAAGACAGAGACGAAGCAGATGAAGAGGTGCCCTTCCCTTCCCTCAGAAGCTCTTGCCTTAGTGTGGACGGTTTGCAAGTATGTGTTCACAGTGTTTGTCATGTTTTTTTATAACAACTTTGATATTTATCCATTAAGACTCAGATGCACAGAAATATAATTTTCTGCATTTCTCCCCACTGCAGTTAACTTGTTCTCTGAGCCTTCTTTTTTAAATGTAATGTGGGCTGTAGAACTGAGAGCAACAGATAAAAACTCATAGACACAGACAACAGTATTGTGGTTACCAGAGGGAAGGGAAGGGGGGAATTAAAGAGGGTCAAATATATGATAAAGGAAGATTTATCTTTGGGTGGTGGGCACACAATGCAATATATAAATGATGGATACAGAAATGTACACTTGACACCTACATAATTTTACTAACCAATGTCACCCCAATCAATTAATAAAAACTTAAAAACAAAAGAAATGATCACTTGTCAAGTTTCTATGTAATACCAAAGAAGAATATCCACAATTATCTGAAAAGACTATTAAAGTTTTAAAGGCCTAAATCCCTTTTAAACATCTGCCAAAGGAGTCTAGACTTTCTTCATATACATCAACCAAAACAGCCTATCATAGCAGCAATGCAGAAGAAAATATGAAAATCCAGCCATTAAGCCAGACATTAGACAAATTTGAAAAATGTAAAACAATGTCACTTTTCTCACATTTTTTTGAAAAGTTATTTTTCATAAAATATATTGTTTATACTAACATATAATGAGATAATTCTTTTTAAATAAACTAATAAACTCCTTTTTAAAAAATGTAATGTAGTCCTGGCTGGTGTGGCTCAGTTGGTTAAACGTCACCCCATACATGAAAAGGTTGTGGGTTCGAGTGCCGCTCAGGGCATATACTTAGGTTTCCGGTTCAATCCCCATTCGGGGAGAGTATGCGAGGCAACCAATCGATGTTTCTCTCTCACATC